CACCACCACCACCACCACCACCACCACCACCACCACCACCATCATTATCAACATTCCTGTTTTAATCACACCGCTTTGTGACGAATTTTATTTTCTGTCTCTCCCTCTCCCTAACAGCCGACCGGTTCTTCGGCTACACGTTTCCTAAGTAATGGGGCCTACGCTGATTCCGTGGGCAAGTCAAATTTTGGGACCGCCCAGCGCCTCACTGCCTTCTTCGATTTAGTCGAGGAGAGGGAATTGTCTATCCTTCAAAGTCACGCCAACTCATCACCCCCTGTCGGTGGTGATGGCAGAACTGACTAATGGTGACACGTTTACCTACCTCTACCATGCTGTTCTTCTCCTTCGCTGATTTCTTTTAATTTCGAATTTTTTTTTCAGTTGGTGCTGACTATGTTGAATGCATTTCAGACTGTGATTTTTGTAAATAAATTTTTTTAGCACTTTTGAGTGTTGCTCCTTGAGTGATGGACGGAGGTGCATTCAGCAAGTCGTTGAGCCACTTGTTACAGGTTATCTTTCAAAGCGAGAAACCAGAGGAACGTGATCACTAAATGTCGGACTTTTTAGACAATATAGTACGCCATCTGCTCCGGGGAATTGAATATAAGAAAGAAAACGTGTGCGGTTTGAATCTGGAGTTGCAAGAAGGAAATTTTTGAAGAGTTCCCCCTCACGGAAACCAAAAATTGGATTGTAGAACATCTCATTGCCTTCGGTCCTCCGCTTCCTTGACACTTTTCTGCAAACCTCTTCCTGTTGGCATCTCAGCTTGGCCTACACAACCTACTGATCCAAAATACCGTCTCAAACTGCTTGTTGACGTTTCCGAGCAGTATTTGCAGCGTATTGAGTCGTCTTCTCTCTCTCTCTAACTCTGCTTGTTGCATTGCCTGAAGTCAGATCCTTATGAATACATCCAGCCAGGATTAGTTGAAAACGTCCACCAAGCCTTCCACTCAAGATGTTTCAACAAACTTCATGTAGATAGTTACTGCCCAACTTTGTTCCACGGGAAAGCGGCATCCCCTCTACACAACTTCAGAAGGCGTGATGGACTTGCTCACTGCCTCCCACAGCACGGGATTGCTCTACCGACCGTTAGTATACCGGCTGACGGCACAGATCGCCTGGTCACTTCATCGCGACGTCGGTCGCTCTTGCTGGGTCCCATCACTCCTATAGGTGAGCTACATGCAAATAGGATTTGCGGTGGATACCAGCTGTTAGCCATCAGGGTCAACCATATTGAGGGAAAGATCTAACAGATGGAAACTATGTTGCAATGTAGTTTAGGCATTGTCATGATATGAATGTACCTACCGGGCGAGTAATTAGAAGCAAGACAAAATGACCTCATCTAAAAGACACTTCAGCTATGCCTTTTGTAGCTGATGTGGCGGAGCCAGAACTAACAGTAAAACCGAGAACGAAAACGGTCAAAGAGGAAACCAGAAACTCTTAAGAAAGAAGGGATCTAGCGGTTTGAAAAACCAATTGAGGTGGACAGCCGCTCCTGAGTGATATTCCCACGGCATTCGAACCAGAAACCTCGACAACCACCCAGTCCATAACGGTTAATACGGTGAATCCTAAAACCTTCAGAAACAACCAGAAAAATTCTCAGTTGGATGAACCCATCATAAGCAATGGTATCGGGTCAGTCTTTGAGACTACAGAATATTAATCACAACCCTCCGTGCCAATGGCATCTAAGTGGGTCAAGACGGATCAAACAACAAAGCAACGAATAAACATCTGCTCCGCCATCACCGGTTTATGTTGCCAGAAAGTTACCTACCTTAGAGAACGACTCCCTAATAGAAAATACCAACGAAACCGTCCGAGACCAACGTCTCATTATTCAGGGACTTCGTGGATCAGACGCGAACACTCCCTAGGAGCGGGTTTCGGAAGCCTGACGCTCTTCCAAGCTTCGCTTGTTAATGTTTTTGGGTCCACAAAGGCAATTAAAGGGCTCAAAGCCTTCTATCTTGGAAAAAGAGCAAACAATCAGGCAGGATCAACACGCCTCTGACCTCTCAGAGTTGTGATCTCCTGTAGGTCACAAGCCAGATTCTCTCAAGGCGTTTTTAAATAAGAACCTCCAACCCCGACTTTTTTTCTTCAACCGGACTACTGGCCAGCAGAGAGGCTAAGACATCGTCAACTAGTTCTAGAACTAAGAAAGTGATTCATCGTCGGAGAACGCAGTTTAGTTATCATCAACAGCCAGCAAGTAAAACGACATTCTGCCTCCCCCACCTAGATGAAACCGGTTCGAATGAACGCACATATGTTCCAATAGACTGTGCCATGGTTATTCGCGGATCTTCCATGAACTCCCGACTCATATTCGTGTATACCAACATGCAACGTATACTCTCAACGGCAAACACGGTTGTCGAACAGTTTGAGGACAGGAAGCTTGTACTTCCTGAATTTCAACTGTTCCTCGGAGGCAGAGAAAACCGAAGGTATAACAGCATCGTGAATAACAGATTGCATGTTTTCGAAAATCTGCTATGCTGACTTGTAGTACGGAAGCAATATGTTGGACCATAGGAGCAACGGATTACCAGAGCCTCGATGTCTTGACGGTGTGTCGATCCCCGAAAAATGACCCTGATGCTGATGCCCAACTGCCAGGTATGCTTAAAGTATTCACTAAGCGACCGAATACTCATCATTTAGTGTGCCTCACATCGATTGGGACTCGGCCTCCGTCGACTAATCTGAAACAGTTTTCGATCGGCAGCTTCTTCCTGCTACTGGCAATATGCTTCTCACCCAACACATCACGTTTCTGACGAGAGTTGCTGAGGGCCAGCAGATGAACTGTTTCAACCTTTTGTCCGCTAAGGCACTTGATTACATCGACGTTGTGAATTGCCTTCCCCCATTAGGGCTCAGTGACCGCGTAGTTCTCACGCGGGATTACACCTTATTCTCTTTGCCTGCCTAGCCGCCTGATACCCGGCCAAATATTTGGCACGGAGATAGATGAAGTGCCCTTCGTCGGGGAATCCACACTCTCCGAAGATATGGACGGGGTGTGGAGCCAATTCGAAGAGACAGTTCACAACCTCATTTCCAACCACTGCCCAATTATGCGAAAAACACTGACTAACAGACCCCGCTGGTTGACTCCATCCTCAAAGAAGGAAGTTGACGAGAAGAGTAAACTGTGGAAACGATCCCTCACTGATGGGACGCCTGAATCCTTCAAAAGTTACGATCACAGAGAAACTGGGGCAAAATTCTCATCTTCAGAGGTCAGTGGGTCTTCAAAAAGGATCTTTTGAACCGTGCCATGGTTAATCCTAAAGTGCCTTACAGGTATACAAGCTAAGTACGCGCAACAGCGATCCTGTCCCACTGGTGCGAACTGTCGAGGCTGCGGAAATATGAAACGTAAAAGGCTAAGGCTGAATATCTCGCCTAGTTTTTCCGGCCAGCCGTGACGACAGAACCCGACTTTCTCACCAATTAATTAAGGCGGGAAATCCGTACTATTGAGACAACCCTTCTTGCCAAAACAATCATTCCGTAAGAGTTGCTAAAATTGGGAAAGTCGATTTCCCCGTGTTCCGATGAAATTCGGGCCAATCTGTTAATGGGACTAGTTTCAGAAATGGCAAAGCCGCCAGCCTTGCTCTTCTAGGCGTCATTTGCTACTGGGCACCTATCCTCCGATGGGAAGTCCACAACCGCCTCTCCCCTTTTTAACAGTGGAAGTCGGGCGACTGCAAATAATTACCGCCCAGTGAGTCTCGAATCCATCTGACGCCAAACCATAGAGAACATCAGTAAGAAAGCATAAATGCAGTTTCTCGAGCAGAATCACTTCCTCTCCGATGTCCAATACGGCTTTCGCAGTGGTAGGTCCTGTCTTACGAATCTGCTACCTTCACTTGAGTGCTGGACCAAAGCACGCGACGAAGGCAAGATGGTGAACGCCATCTACTTTAACTTCAAAAAGGCCTTCGACAGCGTTTCTCGTCAACGTCTCTTGCATAAACGTGACGTATGAGTTTGTGGAAGCCTCCTTGTATGGATTCAGAGCTTTTTGATTGGGCGGTCCCAAAGAGTGCAAGTCAAGCGCCAGCAGTCCTCAGAGATAACCCTGGTGGGCGGTATCCCACAGGACTCAGTCTTAGACCCCACGTTATTCCTCGTTTTCATAAATGACTGCGTCAGTGACCTAGACTGTGATGCCATCCTGTTTGCTGACGACATAAAATTGTGCAGATTTATTTACGAAGCGGCAGACGGAGACCACCTGCAAACGAACTTGATCAAGCTTGAAGACTAGCCGAAGCGTTGGCTTATGCCCTTTAATGTATGTGTAACTTTCTCAACTCGGCAGCTGCTGAGTCTTCAGTTCCAGGACTTACTTTCTTCACGGTACACAAATGCAACAGGTTGACAGTTAGAAGGACTTGGGTGTGTGTAGCACATCTTCGCTCCAACTAGCACTGAACTGCGCGGATGCAGTCAATTCGGCTATGTATACCTGGCAGCGCATTAGGCGTTCCTTTACGGGATTTACAAAAGACAGGTTTTCCAAAATATTGGGCACATTTGTGCGGACGCATCAAGAATACGCCATACAGGCTTGAAGACCCTGGACTGTCAAGGACTGTGCCGTCGTAGAGAGGGTCCAGAGATGGGCGACAAAAATGACTAAAGGTCTGGGAGCACTGCCTTACGAAAACGGATTGTCAACCCTCAAAATATTTCCCCCCTTCCTATAGACAACTACGAGATGATCTTGTACTAACCTTCTGCATCATGAATTGCCTGGACTGTTGCTTTGCACCCAGTTATTTTTTCACTCAGGCTATCAAGCCTAATTTGCGCGATCATCCCTTAAAACAACGGAGTGTTTGCAGCGTGGAACGTCCTGCTCGTCGATATTGTGTTCCCCCTCTATTGTTTATTCATTTAAGTGCAAACTCGACACGTATCATTTACCAGCCACGTGCACACCCACACGGCCGGTCCCACAGAGATTGCGTTTGATTATACTACTTGCACTAAGTGAGTAGGTGTTAATGTTTACTTATTTTCAATTAGTAAACTGCCGCTTTCCTATCGCGTGCAATTACATAAACAATCTCTTTTTTGATTTTTCACTTATCGTTGGTTTTCCTTAGAGTTTTTGTAGCCACTGGGAAGTTCAAAGGCGTTTTTCTATGTCGCCCTTAATAAAACTGAATTAAACTTAGTTAAAAAGTCCTCCAGGCCTTGCATTCTTGAAATTCTTCTACAAACCCAACCATACGCACAGCCTTCCCTATTTGGCCCTCTGCGTCGTTTTTTCTTCGATTCCTGTGGCTTTCTCTTATTCCATAACTTCACGCCATGGCTGAAGTACGTACTGACGTCCGAAAAATAGGGCCCGAGTGTGGAGTCGATCCAGCGATCACCCCTTCCTTAGTCAACTGCGCTAACCCCCGGCCACTGCAGCTCGTCGGCGAGCGATATCACATAGTCCCCTTGACTGTATAGACGCAGAAAATGCAGGCCAAAGTTGCAGTGGATGCCAGATTCTAGCCGTCAAGGTCAACTATCTTGAGGAAGAAATCACAAAGATGAAAGCCCAGTAGCGATGCAGTCTAGACCAAGCGAACGCTTCCAATATGCCTATTGGACGAGTAACCAGAAGTAGGGCAAAAGCTCCCAGCATAATAGGCACGCCAGCACCTATCACAGCAGATCCAGAACGAATAGCTAAAAATCGAGAAAATAACAGCTAGAAAGGAAACCCAAAAACTGAAGAGAAAAATAAATCAAACTGTAAAAAGGCCAAGGAAGACGGACGGCTACTTTCGGAAGATGCATCCGTAGAGGCCGAAACAGAGATATTGACGAACGCTCCGTCCCTCATGGCAAATGCTGTGTGTCCAAACACCTTTGTTGACTCTCCGAAACAGTCCGAGCTCGATAGACCTAGTAAGAGCGGTGGAATCGATTCATCCATCACAGCCACAGAGTTCTGTCCACAGTCTTCTCTGCCAAGCGCTCCTTCCAAGGTTGTCAACATAAGAGTCAAACAAACGGACCGCGTAAGCGCATCTGCTCTACCGTCACCAGCGCATAGTCCCAGAGCGTTACGTCATTTAGGGAACCACACTTCCGTAGAAAATAAACAAGAGACCGACAGAGAAAAATGTCTTATTATTCAGGGACTCCCTGAAGCATGTGCAAATACTCCCAAGGAGCGGGTTTCGGAAGACCTATCACTCTTCCAAGGTCTTCTCAATAATATTTTGGAACCAACGGTGGGTATTGAAGTGATCAAAGCCTTCCGCATTGGAAAACGAGCAGATAATCCATCAGTGTCCATTCGTCCATGACCTCTTAAAGTTGTGCTGACCAGCAGCGACCAAGCCAGTTTCATTCACTCCAGGCGATTCAGGATTAAAGACTTCAGCCCAGGTGTTTTTTTCAACCGGACTACTCACCAGTGGAACGGCTCAAACGTCGTCAGCTAGTTCTAGAACTAAGAAAGTGGCTCAGCGAAGGGGAGAACAATTTAGTTATATACAACAACCAAGTACGGCGGCGTCCGTCAATCTTCCTTTGGACAGGTCCGGCCCGAATGACCGCGCAGCCGACATAATAGGTGAAGGCGCTAACCAAAATGTAACCACATCTGCCGTCAGCCGGAAATGGAAATTCTTGTACACCAACGTGCAGAGTTTGCTATCAAATTTCGACGAGCTGAAGATCTACCTCCGCAATCTATCCCCTGACGTAATCTCTTTATCAGAAACCTGGTTGACCCAACACGTGGACTACCGTGAGTTGGCCTTGCCTGGCTACCAGATGTTTAGAAGGGATAGGGAAGGGCGTCAGGGAGGAGGCGTAATCACGTATGTGAAAAATGGGATAAAGGTATCGGACAAAACCGATAAATTTTCGTGCAGTTCCGAGGCAATCTGGCTGTCTATTAAAGTGCCGAGCTCGCCTAGCCTCGATGTCCTGACAGTTTATCAACCGCCGAGACGGGACAACATGGCCGACGCTCGCCTGCTGGAGGAACTCGAAAATTTCGCTACACGGCGGGATATCCTGATCATGAGCGAATTTAACGCGCCTCATATTGACTGGAGCTCGACCCATGTAAATAGCTCCAAACAGACCTTCGATGGGAGTTTTCTGAACACGGCACTGAAGTTATTTCTCACTCAACACGTCATGTTACCAACTAGAGTACTCGAAGGCCAACAGGGCAACTGCCGATACGAGCGAATCCGAAACGTCAGGCGAATAAAGCCATTGTTCTAGCGATCGCTTCTTCTTCTTCTTTTTCTTCTTCTTCTTCTTCTTCTTCTTCTTCTTCTTCTTCTTCTTCTTCTTCTGACCAAGGCAACTGCCTTGATCTTGTCCTTACGACGTCACAGGACAGCATTGATGAGGTGTCATGCCTACCCCCCCTTAGGTAAAAGTGACCACGCCGTTCTTATATGGGATTACTCGCTTTTTTCCATGCCGGAGAATCACGTGACAGTTAGAAGAAACCTTTGGCTCGGGGGTTCGACCAAATGAGGGCTGAAATTTCACGCATTACGTGGGAGTCCGTATTTGTTGGAAGCATACTCGAAGATGGGCAACGGTTCCGAGAAATTCTGCACGAGCTGATAGTAAACCACTGTCCACTTTCACGGAAGAGGTTAACTAGCAGACCTCGATGGCTTACGCGAGCCTTGATGAATGAAGTGAATAAAAAACGAATGCTGTGGAAAAATCGCTTTCTGACAGGGCCCCGCATCTATATGCGCGTACAAAATTCAAAGAAATGGAGTCAAGGGCCTTATCCTCAAAACTAGAAGGGAATTCGAACGGGATCTGCTTAACCGTGCCGCGGAGAACTCTACATGATTCTAAGGTTACATAAGGCAGCGCAGGCGGAACAAGGACCCAATCCCACTGCTAAAGACTGCTGAAGGAGAACATCTCACTGAAGACAGAACGAAAGCTGAAGACCTTTCAGAATTTTTTCGGTCTGTTTTTAGTAGCGAAACAGGATTCAACTCTTTGGCCCATCAACCCTTGAAGACACCACAATTATGGAGACCGTTCAGTTCACTGAGGGTATGGTTCTGACGGAGTTGCTGAGGCTAAAGGAATCCAAATCACCAGGTCCCGATGAGATTCCGGCGAAGATTTTGAAGGAACTCGCCGGTGAGTTGGCTAAGCCACTCTCCACGCATTTCCATACATCCTTCGAGACCGGACATCTGCCACCCGACTGGAAGTCGGCGTGGATTACGCCACTGTACAAGGACGGAAGTCGGGTCTCTGCAAACAATTACAGACCTGTCAGCCTCACCTGCATTTACTGTAAGATTATGGAGAAGATAATAAAGCAACAATTAATGCAGTTCCTTGAACAAAACCATCTGCTTTCCGATTCCCAGCATGGATTCCGCAAAAGAAGATCCTGTGTGACAAACTTGCTCTACTGTCTGGAACACTGGACTAGGGCTGTTGATAGAGGAGATATAGTGCATTCCATCTATATCGACTTTAAATAGGCCTTCGATAGTGCGCCTCACCACCGCCTTCTATACAAATTCAGCCGTGCAGGAGTGCAAAATAAGCTTCTGATGTGGATCCGAAGCTTTTTACTCGGTCGCTCTCAAGCCGTCCACGTCAGTGACCAGCAATCTGCCGGGGTGGCCGTTAGGAGTGGTGTTCCCCAAGGCTCTGTTCTTGGTCCCTCACTGTTCCTCGTATACGTCAACGACTGCGCAAACGAACTGGATTGCGATTTTGCAATGTATGCCGATGACATAAAGATCTGGAGTACCATGCGAAGCGAAGTTGACGAGGCGCGACTGCAGACAAATCTGGACCACCTCGAGCAGTGGTCGAAAGATTGTCTTCTACCGTTCAACGTAAACAAGTGTAACTCTCTACGCGTCGGCGGAACCAGTTCTCCTGACCGCACGGTCTACCGTCTGACTAGCAAACCACTGCAAGAAGTCGACGCCCAGAAGGACTTTGGTGTATTAATCACAACCTCGCTTAAGCCTTGTCTGCAATGTTCAAACGTAGCCAAGTCGGCGATGTCCATTCTATACCTCGTCAAACGGACGTTCTCTTCCTTTGATGAAGACTGCTTCGCCAAGGTCTTTCAAACTTTCGTGCAACCACATCTGGAGTTTGCTATCCAAGCATGGAGACCCCCGGCCGCTAAAGTCCTCGGCATACTCGAAAAATTTCAACGGCGAGCAACGAAACTTGTATCTGGGCCGTGGTCACTACCCTACGAAACACGATTAGCTCATCTTGACCTCTTTCCTTTGAGTTACAGACAGCTACCTGGGAACCTCATACAAGCTTTCCGCATCGTGCGCAATCAGGGCTGCTGCCTCACATCTGGAGACTTCTTCGAGTTGACGACTACGACTAACCTGAGAGGCCATCCACTCAAACTGCGTGCGACTGGTGGCCGGCTAGACACACGAAAGTTCTTCTCCAACAGAGTGCAACAGGTGCAGCTTGGAATGCCTTGCCTGAGGTTTTTGTTATGTCAGGACCCGTAGATACTTTTAAACGGAAGCTAGATCAACAATGGAGCGCGCACCACAGTAACGCCGTACTGCGGCCAACTTGATAGCCAATATTGACAATTTAGTGTTATGACGATGCTACTACCAACATTCAAGTAACATATCTTTATGTAATTTATTAATTTTAGACCACGTTGCGCATCGCTGCTCGCATTCACCACGATGTCTGCAGACTAAAAAATGTAAATTCTTTTCCTGTACCTTAAGTGGGCTTCAACTGTCTGCTGCACTTAATCAACAAACCGAGTTCATGTGTCTCCAAATTCTGTTAATGCATGTCACTCTGTGTTCTGTACAGTTTTTGTTATTCCCTTTTATTTCATTCATGTTACTTCTTTCCATTTTCTCCATATACTTCCTCTGCATGTAACCAATAGGCATTTCAAAGGTACACACCTACTTTCCCTGAAATACACTGATACTGATACATGCTGAGCCACCGACTTATGTGTTGGATAACCAAAGTTACTCATCCCGCTTGTCATGACGTTCCTTGTTTCTGTCTAGGCTGCCCTTGGTAGAACTGCGTCATCCGTGTGGTTTTTGCAGTATTCGGCTCTTGGCTCATTGCCCCAGCCCATATATTCGTCTGCGTACGATAATTTCACGTTTACAGACGTGACTCGGCCCCCCTCCCCGTCGGCGGATACAGTTGTGGTTGCTGAACCTTTGCGGACTGTCGCACTAACAGCGGATCCAGGTGATCCCGGACTGTAGGTCGGACCGCCAGAGCGGATTTCTCGGCGTACGTAGTGCGTGGGGTTAGAATCTTCGGTCTGTTTGCGTCTGGGAGAGCGGTACCTCCTGGATGCTGGGGCCTGCTAACTGGGTGGCGCGTTCACAGTTAGCGGGTAGTTTAAGGGCCTTCAGCGAAGGCTTCCTATGGTACAGGCAGGACTCGTCGTCTGACGAATGATCACTCACCGGCCATGCAGTCGCAATACATTCGAGCTACAACAAGGCCGTAAGCCAATGCGACTCAAGAATGAGTTTGATATTCCTTCCTCAGTGGGTTTCGTCTGCTACCATTGTGTTACGGACGAGCGGGCTGGCGGGGAAGGCTGGGTACCTAATTTGTGCCACGTCCACGTGAATCGTCACATGAATTACCGGTCTTAGAAAACTCGAGTGCTATGCACGAGAGAACCCTTGCCTAGACACCTTAAACTGAACTGGATGCTTTGTATGCGAATCGGTTAACCCACTCGCCCTCCCAAGAACCGGGACTCAGTGTTTGACGGTGCGTGCCATCTGCCTGCGGATTGGTGTCACTGGCTAGCTCGGAGGTACGCAACCCGAGGCCGGTCTAGGAGCATTCTAAGACGCGGGATCGGACGTCGACCATCGCCTCTGCCATAGTGACGCGACATATGGGTTCACCAGATGGCATCGCATCCATGCTACACCAGAAGACGAAAAAAACTGCTCATGAAGTGAAAATATGTTGCCTCCTTCATCGCCCGCATAAGCCTCTTTCTCCACTCCCAACTTAGGGGGGGGGGGAAAGGAAGAGTTCTAAGACTGCCCTCATGGAGTTCAGTCCCTCAGCGACGTCAGACTTGTTGTATCGGCAAAGATGCTCTAACTACTCTCCGCGTCTCAAGAGAAATTTCCATTTGTGATCCGTGTGATAAGAGGAGCCGTTTTCTGCCTCTTGTCGAGTGCGACGCTCGTTTAAGAAACTCGGTTTCCGTTTTAGATCTCATCCAGTAAAGCAAACCCTCGAAGACATCCATTAAGTCGTTCTTTGAACAGCGGCTACGCCGTCCGGCTTAAACTGGTTTACCAGGCGCTCGTCGGGACTCGTACTGCGCGAAAGATTTGGCTCTTGGGAGTGACACAAAGCTTCGCCTTTGTAAACAACCAGCTGCGTCATAGTAATGCCTGTTATCTCAACGTATACGATCCTCTAACTACATTCGTTTCACTCTTTTGTCTTTCCCAATCATGTCATGTAAAATTTCCTAGACTCCATCTATTCAAATCTTACGAACTGTCTGATATTGTCCATATGTTTACTCTAGATTACGTCTATTCCACGTAGGGATCAATAAACCATTACAGACCGTATGTCCGTCTAAGGGGCTCTCTGCTTTCGATCTGGGATTTGTTGCTTTTAAAGGAATTGATTGCCAATCGAAAGTCGACATGGTGAAATTGAAATCGACGGGGTAATCGACCAGTTAATTCACTTAGCATACAGGTTTCCCCTTTATCTTTTTACTCTCAATTATGGAATCTTTTCTTCTTTTACCTGATCTTGATACCACTTGTCTTTAAATTAAAACCGAATGCACGGTTGCAGCCCTTTAATTTCCCCACAAATTAGTTGCTGACTTGGAGTGAACCAGTCTATTTGAGACTTATTAACTCAGACTGCACGATACACCATACTTGACTGCGCAGGTAATTGCTATGCGCCCGGGCACGTGTTTGCCATCTGAGAGGGGTTTGGCTCATGATTGGGTTACTCAGCGTTCGCCGTTTGCTTTCTGGCAGATAGTTCCGTTTTGAAATTGCTTCTTTTTAATTTCCTCAAAAGCTGATAGTCCACGTTGACCAAATTATGCACATCCGGATGGTTCCATCGAATTTTATCGACATTTTATTGCTACTAAAGCATTGCAAGTACACGTACTTGTGATGTTGGTGCTTTCAGACGACTGACCGGCTCGAACAGTGGACTGATGCCTAGAGAGGGATAAATGAGGTCCACTCTGAGAACTTCATTTCCACGGTACTCAGCGCATATCTCTCATTATCAAAAAATCTAACGCGCTTCGAGACTGTCACGATGACCTGAAAGGCTGCCAACTGACGGGTTAGTTTGGTCCTCCTCTCAGGACGGAGGGTTAAAGTGCGATGGCTCCTTCTCAATGTGGCATCTATGATACTCCCACTCAGATGGAATCCGAGTCGCGTCCCTTGTTCCCTCAGAAACCCCGACCCACTGTGCACAGATCGGGCACGTGTGGCACGCATAGATGGATTGTGTTTGGCTTAGTCAGCAACCGCGCCCAATCCGGCCCCTGGTTTTCTTTGCTCTGTCTTGACATCGAGCTCATGTAAGTGGGGGAGGAGAAGGGTGGAGTACGGTAGATTTAGAGCCAGCCCCTATAAACTAAATCATGCTCAAATCACTGTCCATGTGCCCACGATGCTGTAAGGCACACAGGAACATCACAGTTCGCGTAGGTCCAAATGTCGGTTGAGTGTTCAAGAGGCCTACACACATAAGTGGGCAGAAAATGGCATTACCTACAAAGACAGAGGAGGACTGGAATAGTCGTTTCTGGCCTGTTGCTCGCCACCAGTAGGCTTTGCTCGGTCCCAGGCTTTCGCAACTACCGAGACTCTGACCCGCGACCTGTTGATTAGAATTTCAACGCCCTGGCCAGTGCGGCCATGTGGATTTTTTGCGCTGAGTAACCGAACGGATTTTTAGATGTTGATAATTAATATACCCACTTTTCAGATCCTTTCTAACAAGGGAGACGCGTGTTTGAGCCCTCAGTTAGAGAGTTTATGCCCGTCGGGAGAGGGCGTGCTCGTTGAGAGATATTTGTTTGACATTTATCGCTTTATGAACGAGTTTCGACTTTCCGTCATCAGAGACTGGTAGACCCGATGCATCCCCCGTTCTGTAAGGTCTCTTGCCAGGGTGCATAGCCTTGCTCGCCTAGCCGACCGCTAGTGCCTATGATAGGTTGACCATCACCGCTCGTGTCCATTACCCCCACGTGGTGCCTAACCTTCTGAGGTCCTGTAAAATGGGCGCGCTACACTGTTTTGGAAGTCTAGTCCGAAGAACGTCTGCATGAATATCGAACTAGTCTCCCATGGAGTTCGTTCAGGCATTGCCAAACACCTTACGAACCACTTTGAATTATGATTTGCGAATACAAGACTTTAATTACTATTTGCCACTAATGAATATGAAAGTCAGCTAGAATATTTTTGCCGCAGTAAATTATGATCTCTACTTTGCACGAAAAAAGTACAACTTACGAACTTTCTGACATCTCGGACAGAGACTCAAAAGGGGGTAGGCTGTTTACGCCAGAGGCAGATCACTACGATGTCTGTCTTCCGACAGCCATTCCCCTTGACCCACGACTTCGTCTGCGTCGAAGTTGTGATCATACCAACTTATGCCTTCGGGTTCGATATGTTCTTAAGGAAATGGTGGTCGATATTTGTAGCCGTTATTTCTCAAGGGACAGTTAACAGACGAACTTTGTAGGGCACGACCATAAGTACCCTCTGTATTGCAGGTGGTATTGCGTCAAATTAGAGGGGTCCAGGGTTACTGTTAGGACTAGGAGAATCAGAATCGGGGTAAGGAGGGTAAGTGTTATAGTCAAATTTGGGGTTGGGGTTAGGGCCAAAGTTGGGGAGTGGGAATGGGGCAGGAATAGGTGCCCCTCCTGGAATGCAGCGCAAAGCCACCTGTAGCACGATGGCCCTTATTACCATGTGTGGTTGGCGACGCGTTTGACCACACAAGTTCAGTCCTGAAATACCAAAGTCCAGCGAAGAACTATGACACATTCTGAGCTGAAAACAGATGTGACGCCGTGAGTTTATCCGAAACAGTTTTTCAAAGCATCAGAATGGCAGAATTCGTCTCTGACAGTTAGAAAGGTCATACGGTACTTCCAGCCAGAAGCGGCCTCATATTACAAATGCTACTCTTTGGCCCAGTCCGGATCCATCTACGTTCCACTGCCAGTTCACCCGCTTTAGCATTTCTGCCCACCAGGCAAACACATGTTTAGCACACAGATGGATGCCTTAACTAAAGGGCTGCTCTACCTGTAAAAACGCCATTTGCCCTAACACTTTTCTCACCTTAGCCGGTTATTTGTTACTTCCTGTCGTCAGCATTTTCAGGAATGCAATGATTTAGAATTTATGGCTGCCCTCTAATTATGACATGCACACTTGTTTGACTTGAAATCGAGTGGGCCGATAGACACTTCTAAATATCTTTCACATAAAATGTCAACTGCATTCCTAATGGTGTTTCGCTCATTATTCAATACCTGGCAGTCAAGCAACTGAATTACTTAGCTGGTAAAATGCGAATTCCCTGGTTGGGCGAGGGTGCATAAACAAAGTCGTGCAGTTTTTGATAGTGCCACAACAGTTTTCACCAGCGTTCTTCGCAGTTTTATTTGCATGCGTGCACTTCTCAAGCATGCAGTTTGCATTTTTAGATTCTAGAGCAGCCTGGTACTGGTACTCTGTCTTTTTCACCTCATGAATTACTGATCGGTACAAGGACAGGTCCGCCAGCTGTTTATTTCAGAGGCAAAAACAGTGTATATTTTGTTTCCGATCAACTGAAGTGCACTTTGCACACATGTCGAAAGTTTCGCGCGTGTCCTCATTACACAGAAAGGCGTTTCCCAGTAAAGTCATTGCCTGTTCTGTCGATTTTTCAGTGGACAATAATTATTAGTTGATTCATATTGACGCAGCTGTGAAAAACTCGGCGCCTCGATGGGATCCGAAGCCACGACAGCTAGGGTAAGGCATGAATACAGTCAGCGCTCTAGACACCTGAGCTGTGAGGTCCCACGTCGCAGTAGGTCTGGCGGGTAACTTTACCCAAATGTGATTAAACTCGCGTCTCCCGGTGGGGCCTCATAGCTTAGGTGGCTAGGGCGTTGGCTGTACTAAAGCTTTCCTCTTACTGCGTGGGTTCGAATACCGCTGATTCGCTGAGTTTTTAACAGTTGGGTCAATATGAATTATGTAAAATCTACAAAAACATCTATGTATTAGATAATTGCTTGTCTCAAGATTTTTGAATACTAAAAAGGGAAATTCTAACCCTATCATTACATTCAGGAAAATCCTGACCGACTTTCAAACGTCCAGGAAATTCCTTCAAAAGGTCATTTTTGAAGAAAGTTGAAAGTTCTCATGAGAGACTGATGAAGATTCTTAACGTTTTTCCACTCAAAAAATAACATCTGAGCAAAATTTCATTCTACGCCTTTAGCAAGATTTTTTAGTCTATTTACGGTACGCTTATCGACTTCAAAATATTAAACACAAGGTTCTTTATAGAAAGAACTCTTAAAATAATAACTTTTTCGGTCCAGAATGTATTTGAAACGCAAATAAACAGCTAAACATCCTCTAGATGCCCCATATCTTCAAATGACGCATGGGTATGGAGTACATTTGATGAGACATGTATGTACTGGGCATAAACTCGCATGGGAAAACACTCGCGTTGTTGGCACCTGCCAATCAAGGAAAGACCGCGAATTCCTGGAGGCAATGCACTCAGATGAGGCACACATCAACCGGCATATCGATTTAGATGCCACATACAAAATCTTTAAGGACAGATTCAAACTGAGTCAACCAATCCCGAGATGACGAATTTAACCAATCATGGAATCCTTTTGCCAGACTCAGTCTGAAAGTTAGTTATTTTTGCACACCCGTTGTCTGAAGACGAGCTGGGGAACCAGTCTCGAAAATCCACAATAAAATTTTGCTGTTTCCCAAAGAACTTCACCTTTCTAATTATATTTCTTGGGATGCCTGTTTTTCAATTTATACAGTTATTGCTCTATGCCCTTTTTCTGAAGCATGAGTGCATATACAGAGGCATCGAAAATAAGTGGGCATAGCGACCCCCATCTAAGTCTCATGATTTTCAAGACTGATACATTATTATTAGTCAGCAAACAAGTCACCATCCTGCGCCTACCCAGTTGGTGAGCACACACTGCACACTCACCATGCCCAGCGCAATCAACACCCCGTCGTCCACCGCTCCTACCACCAACGGTTGTACCACCACCGAACCCGACCTGTCCTGCCTAACACTACCCCGGTGGGGTGGATCTTCGAATCGGCATCGCTGACACGCGCCAATCTGGTGCACCGTAGGAGACCGCAGGCTTACGGCAATGTCGTAAGCCATTGGCAAATTCGAGTCGTTCTCCCACTGCCAAACAAATTCGTGGCCCACAGTGGAGTTCGGCCGCGCAGGAACATCAAGCAGCCCTATTCAGGGACAGGGCACTGTTTCTATTCGGAGGCGGCCTGGAAAAGCTGGCCTAAAAATTGCTGCGGAACCACCTCGTCTGCAGGCGCACCGTGGTCGCAGACACAAAATTCACGGTCGAAACAATCAAAATCGAAACAACAACAACAACAACAACGACAACAACAACAACAACAAAAACAACAACAACCATAGTCATTCTCCTCATCCTACCTCTTCTTCCACTCCCTCTAACTATTCTTCTCCTTCGTCACCTTCTTCTCCACCTCCTTCCCGTCGCCCAACTGGCAGGGTGAGCTCGCTCACTCTGGCAGCCTGGAATGTTCGTTCCCTTTTAGACAACCCGAGGAGCAATCGACCGGAACGGAGGACGGCGCTAGTGGCACGAGAGCTGGCGCGCTACAAGGTGGACATCGCCGCACTCAGCGAGACCCGATTCTCCGAACAAGGCCAACTGCAGGAGATGTGTGCCGGCTACACCTTCTTCCGGAGTGGTCGACCCAAGGCAGAGCGACGAGACGCGGGTGTCGCCTTCGCCATCCGGAACGACATCGTGGGACGACTGCCCAGCCTGCCGCAGGGCATCAACGATCGCCTGATGAGCCTCCGTCTGCCTCTCCGGCGGGGGGAGGGGACAGATTCGCCACCATAATCAGCGCCTACGCTCCGCCAATGAGCATCCCCGAGGCCGCAAGAGACAAATTCTACGAGGACCTGCACGCACTCCTGGCGACTGTGTCGAAAGCGGACAAGTTGATTGTTCTTGGTGACTTCAACGTCCGCGTCGGCACAGACCATGCTGCCTGGAGAGCAGTGCTGGGTCCCCACGGTCTCCGCGGCTCAAACGACAATGGTCTGCTGCTTCTCCGCACCTGCGCAGAACACCGCCTCATCCTGACGAACACCTTCTTCTGTCTGCCGGAGCGAGAGAAGGCCACCTGGAGGCATCCTCGGTCGCGTCAGTGGCACCTGCTGGACTATGTCCTCGTCCGGAGGCGAGATCAGCGGGACGTGCTGGTGACGAAGGCGATCGCGGGTGCTGACGGGTGGACTGACCATCGCCTCGTCATATCGAAGATGCGTATTCGTCTACAGCCTGGCAGGAGACCACAGGGTAAGCGATCCCCAGGTAAGCTGAATGTTGCTTTGTTGTCTTTGTCCGCTCACCATCTTCATTTCAGCAATGAGCTAGCTCAACGGCTAGACAACCTCCCTATCGCTGCCGCCGCCGACGACGCCGCCGCCGATGCCGAGAACGCCTCCGTGGAGAACCGCTGATGTCAACTGCGAGACACGGTCCAGTCGACGGCGCTCGCCGTCCTCGGTCGCGCTCCCCGCCAACACAAGGACTGGTTCGATGACGACGCCGTCATCAGCAATCTGCTCGCCGATAAGAACCGCCTACACAAAGCCTACGTAGATCACCCCGCTGAGGACAACAAAGCTGCCTTCTAACGCAGTCGCCGCCAACTTCAGCAACGACTGCGCGAGATGCAGGACGTCTGGACTGCCGGCAAAGCTGAGGAGATCCAAGGGTACGCGGACCGCAACGAATGGAAGAACTTCTTCTCCGCGATCAAAACTGTCTACGGTCCGCCGACGAAGGGCATTGTTCCTCTCTTCAGCGCCGACGGTAGTACTCTCCTCACTGAGAAGACGCAAATCCTGCAGCATTTCTGCGGCGTCCTTAACCGGATCGGACGCAATCCGTGCTGAGGTCTACAAGTACGAAGGTCCCCAACTGATGGATCACCTGACTGCGCTCTTCCAAGATATGTGGCGTCAAGGTGAAGTCCCGCAAGATTTCAAGGACGCAACAATCGTGCACCTATACCAGCGATAAGGGAACCGCCAAGTCTGCGACAATCACCGCGGCATCTCCTTGCTGAGCATCGCCTGGAAGATCTTCGTTCGCATCCTTCTCAATTGCCTGAACTACCACCTGCATCAGGGCCTTCTGCCGGAAAGCCAGTGCGGTTTCCGTCGTCATCGCGGGACCACCGATATGCTCTTCGCCACCCGTCAACTTCAGGAGAAGTGCCATGAGATGCGGACTGACCTGTACTCTACCTTCTTGGACCTGACGAAAGCCTTCGACACGGTGAATCGTGAAGGACTGTGGAAGATCATGCAAAAATTCGGCTGTCCGGAGCGATTCACTCGGATGGTGCGTCAGCTGCACGACGGTATGATGGCGCGAGTCACGGACAACGGAGCTGTCTCAGAGGTATTCGCAGTGACCAACGGAAGGAAGCAGCGATGCGTGCTGGCGCCTACCCTCTTCAGTCTTATGTTCTTTGCCATGCTGATGGACGCCTACCGCGACGAACGCCCCGGGATCCGCATCGTCTACAGGACGGACGGTCACCTTCTGAATCAACGTCGGATGCACTTCCAATCGCGCGTATCCACAACCACCGTTCACAAACTTCTCTTCGCCGACGACTGCGTCCTGAACACCACTTCGGAAGATGAGATGCAACGGAGCATGGATCTGTTCTCCGCCGCCCGCGAGAACTTCGGTCTGGTTATCAACAAGCAGAAGACGGTGATCATGCATCAACCGCCACCCAACACCGCCACTCCTACCAACGCACCGCCACCGCAAATCAGCGTGCACGGAACCCAACTGCAAGTGGTGGAGAACTTCCCGTATCTGGGCAGTACCCCCTCCCGCAACATCAAGATCGATGACGAAGTCGCCAACAGGATCTCGAAAGCCAGTCAAGCCTTCGGCCGCCTTCAAAGCACACTTTGGAATCGTCATGGTCTCTAACTAAACAAGAAGCTGAAGATGTACAAGGCCGTCATCCTGCCGACGCTACTGTATTGAGCGGAGACTTGGACGGTGTACACAAAGCAGGCACGCCGTCTGAACCACTTCCACCTCAGTTGTCTTCGTCGCATTCTGAGACTGAACTGGCAGGACCGCATCCCCGACACTGATGTGCTGAAACGGACGGGAATCCTCAGCAACTTCATCATGCTGAGACAAATGCAGCTGCGTTGGAGCTGCCACCTGGTGCGCATGGACGACGAGCGACTACCCAAAGGACTCTTCTACGGAGACGTCGCGACGGGTTCTCGCCGTCAAGGTGGTCAAATTCTTCGATACAAGGACACTCTGAAGTCCTCCCTGAAGCGCCTGCAAATCAACCCGACCAACTGGGAAGAGCTCGTACTCGATCGACCGACCGGGAGGAGGGCAGTGAAGACAGGCGCTGCTATCTACGAAGCCAACCGCATCGCCACCGCCAAAGCGAAACGCGACGCCCGCAAATCCCAACTGCGTCTAGTCCGCAACGCCGACGCACAACCGCTACCAACGTGTCCTCGGTGACAACGGACATTCCGGGCTCGAATTGGACTTGTTGGACATCTTCGGATCAACTGTACCTCTCGGACTGCACCAACCGTCGTCCTCCCGCCCGCCTCTTTTCCGTCCTCTCCACTGCGAACTAACTCTGACAATTCTTCTTAACC